GTACCTCCTGTATATTATTCTGGCAGTTTCAACAGTCTAACTCTAATTCAATCCATCAATTCTTATAGTTTGAAATGAATGAAAGATCAAGTAACACTCTTTCAATTAAACCCCAGCTAGGAAAACATCAATATGATATAAACTCCTTAAACAATACCATATCTAATAAGTATCGTATTAGATATGGTATTGTTTAAGGAGTTGGAAGCTGATATGATGTTTTAGTTATTTAGGATAGGAATACCAAAAATACTAAATATTTTATTTATGTAACATATTTATTCTAAATCAAACGTTTTTGATTTGACAAAAAAAAGTATGCATATTAAATGTTGACTAGAAACAAGAATCAGTCTAAAAGGGGCAACACCAGTATTTAAACCAGTAAAATCCTGATCATAGAATAAGTAAACAGTATCCGATCAGAAAGGTAATGGTACTTAAACGTGTTACAGACATGTTTTTTTAAATCCAGCCTTAATTTAGAGTGTGTTGTTTTTCTTTTTTTTCCATAGGTTTAAATGAATGTGTGCAAGGAATTTACAAAATAGGTTGAATGTTTTATGTAGAATTTTGTAGAAACAGTGGAACACAGTCATTGCATTGAATATCAATTTGATTATTTGTGTCATCTGCCGTATAGGGATTTTATATAGATTCAACTATAACATTGTGATATAATGACAATGTTGTCTTTTTCTGATCATACAGATCGAGTTATTGCTGTTCATTTTTTAATGCACTATGAATGCTTGCACCAAGGCCATCACACATTCATTCAGATTTTGTCTCTGAAATGTTTTGCATAAATATCTTTTAAAAGCACTAATCATCTCCCCAGAAGCATATCCCCATCTTTATAGAATGTGTATGAAGCATACTGCGTGTGTGAGAGGATGAAAAAGAGGCTATTTTGAGAGAAGAGTTGCAGCACTGGTGGAACACATTTGGTGAGATTGTGAGTGATTCTCGCTAACAGCTCTGTGTGTTTGAGATTGGGGCGTACGAATATGTCAACAGATTCATTGAGAGAGGATAAAGGGGGTAAACAAATGTCTGCTTGCTTGCCCAATATGGCTTGTTGCATCACGTGGAAGTAATGGACCAAAGCACTTCCGCCTGTAAGGTACATCTCTTTCTGTCGGTGTGAATCTTCAGCAGGGGTTGGGGACAGGAAACCTCTGAGAAGTGCATAGATAAACAAACTAAAAATAGAAAACCAAGACCAGCCCTCCTCTCTTTCTCTCTCCCTCTCCTCATCGCCATGTAGGTCACCTCCTCTGCACAGTTTCTTTTTTCTCTCTAATGAATCATCACTGTTGACGGCCGTGAAGAGAATAAAAGATGTGTCATCCTCCCTCCTCTGCTGGTTGGCAGCTATTGTTTTGGTCAAGGAAAGAAAAAACTCCATCAATACACTTGATCTTTTGTCATAATCCCACACACAGTACGATAGAAACCTTGAATGCAGAGTGTAACCTGTTCCCACACATGTTAGCCTCGCACTGACGCAACTAAGGACGTGCTGACAGGAAGCAGCAAGTACAACAACAGCCGGACCGCAACATGTGTCACAATCACCTGCTCTCACCACACACTGTGGCTGACTTGAATGACTATCACATTTTAAACAGTCTTTATTTTTGAACCAATCATTATCGAAATGTAGTTATTTTGGGAGCTCACATGCAGAATTATGGACATCACTAATAATCTTCACTAAACTGAATAAAACAAGTCAAGCTGCTCTCTGTTGTACTGTGTATACTGGACAATCACTGGTGCCATTTTGTTGGGAACATCTGTATAATTCTCTCTAAGAACTGCCCTAAAAAAAAAATCATAATGTTCTGAGTTGCACTCATCACAGACATAAGAGGCGCAGTCGGTGTGCTGCATTTGTTATTGTTAAGGCTAAGCACAACACATATCAACATAATCTTCTGACTTTGTGGCAAACTGCATGTGTTTATTCCAAAGAGAGGTGAGTCACAAAGCGTGTGGCAACATGATAATTGTCTCACTCTTTTATGAAAGACACCTGGGCCGAGGCCAATATGCAAAAGTGACGGCCTCTGTCATCAGAAACTCATCTCATTCAGCTACAATAGATCCTTTCCAAGTTTGTGAAAGATCAAATCAATCATACACAGAAGCAGTAGGTCAAAGTCAAACTAATACTTCAAAGCTGATATTCTTTTCATGAAACACAATGGAAATGGCACACCTCTACCTACCATGTTAATAACATTTTCCAATTTTCCAGATCTCTGTGTGGCATTTGAGACATTTGCAGTTATCAAAGCAATTTATTTGATAAATCTCTCTACTCTTTTCCCAGGATGGACGGAAGGATTCCTGAGGACACGGTATGAGTCCGATTAACTGAAAAAGGGGAGCCAAGCACAGAGGCATCCTTCAGACTGTTATCACTGGGAGGACTGTTTGAAAGTAAAACCCTTCACCACAACATCTGAGGAATTCAGGAGCCTTGGAGCCTGAAGGAGTCGTTCTAACAGCTTCCTGGAGCATTAAAGGACACCTCCCAAAGAAACCTCCTCCCTGTTTCTTATCAACCAAGCCACTGAGAGGGTCACACAGGTCACCTGACCAAACTGGACTAATAGCAGAGAAAAGACTGGAGGGTTTTCTTTCTTTCTCACGCACTCAAGTCAATATGTAACACACCCGCAGCAACACACAGGAAGTTAAGCGAGTGTTGAAGTGAGAACCACGTGTAAAAGCTAGTCAGAGGCAGGCCACAGGATATAGTATGGGACAATAGCTCTCAGAGCATTCTGTACTGCCTGAACTCAGTCCCCACCATGCTGTGAATGCAGAAACACACCAACCTGTACTGTACGTATTTATGTGAGCATCTGTGTGCATATGAGATTATTTATTAGTGTCATCACTGAGTGAGAACATATCATTGTGCTAAAGTCGTCCTTGTGTGTGAATATATGTTTCTGCAAATAGCCATCAGAGACGACTGCACAGCAACATCAGCATAAGTGAGTGAAAACAACAAAATAAGCTACCTTTAAGTAGTCAACACTGGTCGGATACTGTAAACTGGACTGTTAATAAATCATCTGCACATATCAGCAGTGACAGAATAAGAGCTGCAGATTGCGGTGCTCTGGCTAAGCTCTTCTATCAGTCTTTGCTTCATAAAGACACAGGCTGAACTCGCACAAACCAGGGGGGATCTCTGAGGAAAACATGGAGGCAACCATCCGTCCCCATGTTCCCTCTAATGGCTGACTTTACCGGAAGAGCCTAATCTTTTCCACCTTGCCCAGAACCAGGCGGGGGGTGTCCAGCGCTGACTAGAGCTGCAGTCACTCTCTCTACAACCTCCAAGAACGTGTGAATGTCCTGCCTCAGATTTCAGCCCGTCGCCATCCCCATGGACACCGTGAAGATCATCCAGTCGGAGAAGTTCCCCAGAGAGTTCCCCAGAGAGTGCCCCGTGCCCGTCACCCAGCCGCGCTATGCCCCGCCCCCCAGAGTGGCGTGGGACGGCGGAGGTGAAGGAGAGATCATCGTCAACCAGGCCTGCAGCGACATGACCCTGGACATCACAGGGTCTCCCCGGGCCATGGTGTCCCCCTCTGTGCCCGTGACGCGCAGGGAGCAGAGCTTCCTGGCGCAGCGCAAAACCAGTGCCAACGAAATCTGCTACCACCAGTTCCACTACAAGATGGAAGACGTCATCGTCAACCAGTACGTGCTGCGCTCGTCGTCCACCTCCTCCTCCACCTCCTCGTCCTCCTCCACGGGGCCCGTCATGCCCTGCGAGCCCCTGGACTGCCCCACCTGCGGTCACACCTACAACTTCGCCGGAAAGCGTCCGCGCATCCTCTCCTGCCTGCACTCGGTGTGTGAGGAGTGCCTGCAGATCCTCTACGAGTCCTGTCCCAAGTACAAGTTCATCTCCTGCCCCACGTGCAGGCGCGAGACGGTGCTGTTCACTGACTATGGCCTGGCTGCTCTGGCCATCAACACCAGCATCCTGAGCCGCTTGCCCTCCGACCCCAACGGGCCCGTGCAGTGGGGGGGGGAGGCCGACCGCAGTTGCTACCAGACTGTGCGCCAATACTGCCAGTCAGCCTGCACCTGCCAGATCGCCAACCCCTTGTCCTCCTGTGGCATCATGTAGACAAGGGGGGACACTGCAGGCATGACTCGGACTCGACGCTCCCCCTCCCCACTACCACTCTTTTTCGTCTATAAGCTATTCCCGTTCTGCCAACTCCCCTCTCACACACACATTCAGTAAATAAATCCCTCCACAGATGTTATCTCTATATATTTAATAGCACAGATGGATGCTATGTGGGACTAATGGATGCTGATGGTTCAATAAATAGTAAATAAATGTATTTTATGTATGGACTGGAATCCTATTCACCCTCTCTTGTTTGGTTGGACGTGTTTGTCATTGACATCTCTTTACATGGGAATGCCAGGGGAGGTCTATCCCCCCAACCTAGGTGAATAAATGATAAAAGTAACTCTGTGTGGCCTTATCTGTCAAGCTACAGAACGGATTATGGCTTTCCTTTTTCAATTTAGACGAGTTAACTATGAATCTGGTTTTAGTGGGGCTTCAATTGTATGTGAAGACTCCTTGAAAGTAACCAAAAACCATGAAGGCCATCTCTTAATCGCACCCTTTTTTTGCAATTGAGATGAACGTGGCTTTGATGCTCCACAAATTAGTTCAGGTTCAGAGAGGGTTTTCATTGTATTGGGAGTTATACCACAAAACTCCCTAATTCAGTCCCCTCATTTATCAATCAAAAAATCACCAAAAGGTTTGTCATTGTAAAATCATTATGCAGTATTTTGTATGTTTTGGTCAAGATATCAAACCTTTTTCAGACGACAATTTGGGCTCTGGAAATCTAAAACAGGCCTTTTCTGACATTTCAGGGATTTCATATTTAATAAGATGTCATTAGATATTTGCAGAAATCCACAAAGTCAAAATGAAGGAGAATTTCAAAGTTATTTTCAAGTTTATTACTATACAGTGCATTACTACTGGTTGTTCACCAATCTTTTAGCTTATTACAGAAACAAGTTTGATGTTTGGACGAAATGTTGTAGTGCTATCAAATAACGGAGAAACAACAGTAGAAGAAACATTATTGATCAGTATAAAAAATATAATACAGTCGACAATAAATAAACTATGGCAATTGCTTGATCCAAATAGCTGAATATGAAGTCAGTTCGAAAGCAGTGCCACTTCTCAGACCTCTGAAGTAACAGCTTCCTCTTCAGAATTGAAATCCAAACATCCACACAGACGCTCTGGTCCGTTTACACGGTTACAGCCTTCGTAGTCTTCCTCCTGAACAGCTGGCTCAGCCGTCGTCGGGCGGAGTTTCTCTCAGATGACTGCATCTGTTGGCTGCACAGATAAAAAATTCATTTAACAGAGCTAAAGCAGGCCACTGTAGAAAGCTGGAAGCAGTATGTAAACTAGGTTTCATGAGCGAGGGACAAAATGTTCAGGAGGAACAGAAGCACAGGCTGAAAATGAACTCCCCCCAAAAAAGCCCTCTGCATCTACTGTGCATTAGCTCCGGACCACTGCGTCAGGGTGGCAGGCTGCCATGTTGGAACAGTACACACATTTCCTCAGAGCATCATGCATCATATGAGATTAATAATACTGCCCCCCTTGAGGTCACAGCTACAAATACACTGTCTCACCCCTTTGAATCTCTCAGGGAAGACTCTCTCGTGAAAGAGCCAAATGTCATCTTCCAGTTCTTGTTGGTTTTAGGCGTCTCTTGTTTTTCAGACTCCTGAAAAGACACAATAGAATATGCATTGATAAAAGTAAAAGTATATTATGAGGAAGAAAGAATGTATATAACTCACTATAACAATGCAAATGGCATACTGTTATTGCTTTAGCTGTATTTAAGTACAAATGATGTGTGTTTATTCGAGCGTATTCTACCTGAATTTCCTGGTCATCCTCTTCCTTTTCCAGCAGGTCATCTTTACTCCGATGCTGCCCTCTGCAGTCTGCATTCTGCTTTCCTGCACCAATCACACACACAATAATGAATATATTTGTAAGACTGGAAGAATATATCCATGAAAAAAACAAAACAAGAAAAGGTGAATGTAGATGATATGGTGCACTCTGACTCACTTAAATGCACTGATGAAATATTTGTGTCTGAAGCCGATCTCTGCCGAAAAAGTCTGTAAGGATGATCTCTACGCTGCTGAGGTTCACTGGAGATTTGCACTGAACTTTCTTGAATTTCAAGCGTTTCACAGGAAATGATATCCTCCTCGGAAGGTTTAGAGTCACTCTGACAAGCGTTGAGAGCCTGAAAGAAAGTCAAGTCATTGGCATTTTTGTATCAGGTTTTGATTCATGTGAGCCCTCAGGCAGCAGGAAGAGATAATGTCATCACTAGCTTGACAAGCCAATAACATGTTAGTAACCCATGCAAACTGTAACAACTTTTTCATTGCCTTGCTAAGATGTATACGATACGATATGATATACTTTATTGTCCCCGTAAGGAAATTTGTTCTGGACTCCGTCCTGCAGTTCCGCATACATGTACATATACAAACATAGTAGACATTAAGAGACATACACATATCATCAGTCATACACCGTTTGAACAAACACAATACACAGACGCACATACTGACAATGGCGACCTATTGCACAACCCTCATGGCCAACATTTAAAAAGTACATTTCATTACATTTGACTACATGTGATACATTAAGGTATTCACCTGGCTCTCCTCCAGGTCTTGATGCTCCCGCGGAGCATCCGTCTCCATCTGTAACGCTCGGCTGTGCATCTGCTGTTTGGCAATCTCTTCTAACATTTGGCACACCTGCTCCAAGTACAGGAGCCCAGGACTCAGCTCTTTCCTCTCCTCTGCACCAAGGTCCTGCACACATCATCAAGCAGGAAAAGCTTCACGTTAAATGCAATAACAACACAATGTACACAAGTTGTTATTCAATGTTGCTCTTCAAACACTCCAGGATAAATTGCAATAATGTGGGCTAAGTGCTCAATAGAAATGGTTAGCACAGTGATGTTCAACATTATAACCATTGCTTTGTCATCCACAAGGTATTGTTGTTGTGAACATTTTAGCATGCCTAAGTTAGCATTGAGCTCAAAGCACCATTGTGCCAAAACACAAATGTTATCTGCAGAATGTCCGAACATTTTGAAAAATATCAATCACAATCTAAGTTGAATGTTCTATCTGACAAACATAATATATTGTAATAACTTTATTTATCACTCCCTAGTTTAGAAAAAACACAACATAATTAGGGTTAGGGTTAGGGTTAGGTAAAAAAATGGTACTGACAATAGATATTGTATAACAGTTTCAACTTTATAATATCAGAATATGAATTTGAGCAATGCCATTTACTTTGACCTTCCCATGAACCTAATGACTAACTTTGAGATGAACAATGCAATCCTCGGCGCGCAGAAAATCTAGAACTGACAATGTTTCTCATGATCTATTATGCATGTTCCCTGACATCACATTAACTTTTGAAGAGAATAATTAGAAGTATAATTGCATTTAATTACAGACAATTATATAATTGGCTAGTCATTAGGGTTAGGGTTAGGGTTAGGGTTAGGGTTAGGGTTATATACCTCATACAAGGCAATGGAAAACATTAACAACTTAATAAGATAAAAAATAAACAATTAATCATGTTTTCAAAATATGGATTCATTGTATTTTTACTTTGTTGGTCAGAATAAAATTAAAAAGTCCATTCATCTGGTTGACAACATGTCTGTCACATTATGCAGGAAACCCCCCCAGAGTGCTCAGCTTCCCCCGCACCACATCCATTCCTCTCGTGCCTGTGGGGGTTAAGTCACCTGGGCAGACTGGTTTATGATCCCTCGCACCACAGACGGGTTCGTGACAGGTTGCGAGCATGAAAGAGATCCTGTGTGTGAGTAATGACATGCCTATCCTACTTTTAAATTTGAGAGCAACCGGATTTGTTGGCACCCTTTAACTACTGTAAAAGTAGACGCCTTGTAGCACTTCTGGGACTTTCTTTTGAACTTTCCTTTAACATTCACAAGCCTGTGTTTTGCAAGACCATACATGTTACTGTGAAACTAATGTTGCCCCGAAACTAGTCCCAAGGAAGAATCATGAAACAGAAATTGAAATTTGGCTCCTCCCTTCGCAAATAAATACATAATTCTTGGACATTTTAAAACAGTTTAGTTTGTGCCATAAGCAGAATCTCACCTCTGTTCTGGTCTGGACTGGCGGCTTTATACAACTCGCAGACCTTGGCCGTCTGTATGATTCTGAAAGCTGCCTTATGGGCACTGATGAGTTTGCTGTCCTCCAGTGGCTAAAACTCTCCGACCTTTGACCTCTTAATAACTCCGATGTAGGCCGTTTGGATACAAAAGATGCTCCAGGTCGCCGCCTGAGCACCACATCCGCTGTGAGGAGGTCTTTAGGGTTGTTCTGCAGACATTTAGAGTCAGTCTTCTTTATTGCTTGCTCCACTTTTAATTGCAAGGCTGTGGAGCTCTCCTGAGCTCTGCTGGGTCGGAGGTGCGGGGAGGAAGAGGAAGAAGAGGGAGGCACAGGAAAAGAGAGGATAGGAGACTGTGATGTTGAGTCCCTTTCTCTTTCTGGTGTAAAAGAGTCTATTTCTGTATGATCTGCTGAGACAGAGGAAGGGGTAGGAGGTAAGGATGTGACAGAGCTGGCTGTCTCCACTCCAGAGTCCACAGATTCTGTGCGTATGTTCGTTCCCACGTCAGATGAACGCATAGAAGGGTCTTCATAATTATTTCCAAGCCATGCTGAGTCCGAACCCTGCGCTCCTTCGGTTACCCATGCCTCCATGAGGTTTCCAAAGCTCCTGTAGAGATTCATCTTCCCTCTGTCCCTCTGTGCTACTGAACAGCAGCGGGAGAATGAACAAGACGGCCTACGCAGTCTTAGCTCAGGTGAGGTAGAATTCAAAACATCCCGTCTGATCCGCCTCTGTTGCTTCACCACGCCTCTCCCCATCAACTGTCCTGTCACAGCGCAGAGTTACATGTCCATACTCGCTGTCTGCTGTCAGTTAATCCTGGGAATACTGACTCATCGGCACCTATATTGGAAATGTTTGATTTACACCTGTAAGAAACATAACAAGAACAAGCCTTGACATGGACACATAGATGTATATGCTGCATTCACTGGTGACATTCAGATTGAAATAATACAAAACATTTACATTTTTTGAGCTTTTTTGAGAAAGAGGTGTTTCAAAGTGTAAACAATGGTTTATGTAAACTCACAACAAGTCTCAGAACTGCCATGAGAATGTTTCCCACAACTTGATATGGTAACAAAATCACTCCTATGACCTACATGAATCAACATACCTAACCTATTCATTCATGAGTGTCAGAATATGAGAAGGGAAACACAATATGTTGAAATTCTTCAGTGGATACACAGCATTATGGTATGTGTGTGACGCAGAAACAGTAAACTCTGTTTCGTCATTTCAAAAAACCCAGATTTATCTGTGAATGCAGGAATGTGTGGAGTGGACACTCGTGTCTGCAGATATGATCTACATTCCCCGGCTGAGCAGCATCTGATCAAACACGCAGGATCATTCACATTCCTGAAAAAACAAAAGAGCTATTTTTAGTCTGTGCCCACAGTCACATACTGTTGTCCTGATGAAAGGTAACAATTGTTTTTTTCAAACAGGTGTTCGAATTCTTTCAGCATTTTTTCCTAAGCAGACTTACAGTATACATCCATTATCTTACTGTACATACAGCAACAACATCTGTGATACATTCCTATGCAAGTACAATTAGCCCTATCTTCCTGATGTTGACCCCAATGCATCCATGTTTACAACAAAGTGCACACGATAACTTATCTTATTTGAACAGCTTTTAAATGGTCCTCTATGTTAGATAAAGTTCATATCAATACTACAATTAAGGATACTGAGGTTGTCATCTCTTTTTGTTAAAATAAATAACACATATTTGATGTTTAATGCTCTCGACTTGTAAGAAATGGCGTTGAAACTTTTCAGTGTATTCCACTGTATAATTCTCTAAACGGAATTGAAAAAAAAAATCGAAAGTTAACTTTTAATAAAAAAATGTATGTAGTGTAAGGGGACAGTTACAAGGAGTCGGATGGGACCCACTTGCAAGCCTACTGTACATTGGGTTGCTCATCTATCGAAGGAGTGTGCAAAAGGAGAAGCAACAGAAAGCCTTTGGTATCTGACACTGGAAGGGCAATGTTTCGCTTGTTGACCCCAAACACAATACATGTAACTGTCCTTGGTAATATCAATAATTTTTTTAAATGCCAAAATTGTATTTGGAAATAATATTGGTCCTTTAACAACAGCAAAAATATCTTACTTTAACATTTTATTTAAATCAGTGAGATTTATGGTTATTTATACATTTTTTGATAGTCACATAATAGGAATTCTGGATGTATGAAGGGGTCTGTGGGGGGGGGGTATGTCAGGGTAATGTTTTATTTAAATGGTTATTTAAGTAGTCAACAAAGACACCTAAAGCACCAGAAACATACATTTTGGTTAACATTTGGAATATTATGATTTTCTTGAGTTTTAAACTACTGGGGTCAAATTGACCCCCGAGGATAAAGGGTGTAAAGTAAATCTGAGGATAACAGGAGGGTTAAAAAATATCTAAAATGTTAGCTTTAAACCCATGGACTGCATTGGTACCAGTCTATGATTGGTACAGTAAACCTTCCTTCTCCCCGTACTACCACATGACGTCACTAGAGGGCGTCGTTGAGCATGTCTCAAGAATAAATAGTAGTGTCTATACAGTATATCTATTAGAAAGTCAAACCACACTCCCTTTTAACACTATAATAATCACATCACTGCAATGATGCATTAGTGATGTTATTTAGTGTTTGTCAGTCTGTCAAAATGGAGGACTTAATCGAGAACACAGCATCTGCTTTGGTAACTTTTCATAAAGATATGTTGGACGATGCAGCAGGTAACACAAACTGTAAACCAGAGTTATATTATTGCAATATTTGACAGAAATTAGATCCAAAGAAAGTTATAAAAGAGGGACAGCAGAGGCGTCATTAACATGTGAGCTCCATCAGTGTGTGTGTGTGTGTGGTGTGTGTGTGTGTGTGTGTGTGTGTGTGTGTGTGTGTGTGTGTGTGTGTGTGTGTGTGTGTGTGTGTGTGTGTGTGTGTCTGACTGTAGCAACCAGCAAACACCGCGTGCAGGAGGGCGAGCTGCTTCAGCCTCCTGATCAACATGGATAAAAACGTCCTGCTGACACCTGATCCACATTATATCCCAGGGTAAGTCTCCTGCCACGAGATTTGGTTAAAAAAACAACTTAATAAAGATAAGGTTATCTAAGAAGCATGGCTGTTCAGCGTTTAATGATCTGTATTAAGGCTAATAAGGAGTCATTGTGGCGCAGTGCGTTAGTGTTCGGATCAGGGGAGCACAGGTTCAAACCCCACTGCAGTCAGCATGTCGTTGTGTCCCTGGGCAAGACACTTCACCCCAAATTGCTCCTGTGGGGATTGCCCACATATAAAAGCGTCTAACAAGTAACATGTAATGTAAAATTGTACAACCATTTTTTTTTTTTATTGATTTAAAAAGGGTTTGTCAATTTTTCCCCAGCTTTTTTTAAGTTGTTATTGTAATTTACGGTATTATTAAGAAAGATGTGGCTGTAAATTCATCCCCTCAAAAACGGAATTTCTCTTTATACTCATTGTCACAGAATGTGTGTCTAAAATATGTGTAAGTGATAGGCTACATGAAATTCTATCTTTTTTCTTTTTCTTTTTTACTGAAAACCTGCTTCGGAGGCCCTCAGGTGCTGCAGTGTGTGTTTACCCCTGCCTCCCTGTTGTGTTCAGGTACGCAGGGTATTGCCCACAGCTCAAGTACAGAGTGGGGAGATCCTACGGCCAGCTCACAGCTGAGCTGCTGACCAGTCCCCAGGGGAAACACTCTGATCAGCTGGTCCTGGGCAGGGGTCATGTCCCCTCCACAGACACACTGAGAAGCACCTCTGACAGTAACTTGAAGAGGATGATACCAGGATACACAGGCAGGTATCACACTGGGGTCAACAGTGTAACTGTACACCTCATGGAGAATGATGTCATATTAGGGACTTAGTAACATTTGACAAGATGTTAAGGACATATTTATAATGTTAAATAAATATAATTCTGGCAATAGGCTGTAAAATTGTTGTTATTCACAGCACAACAAGCTGAGACTAGAACATGAGAATAACGTGTGTCGAACTTCTAAATGATCAAGTAGAGCAGTTAAGTGGACCAGGTTTAAAACACGAGATAACATTCACCAAACAGCCATACTTGCAGAAATGTAATTTCAAAGTTAAAGTCCTTTTATTTTATTATGGGGATTTTCCCAAGTATGTACACATGCATTTTTGCAATGCATTTTACAGGATCAGTTCAACCAAATTCCTTCGTATCTTTCTAAAAACAATGGTGCAGTCGCTTTGCATTATCCACAGCACTATTTTATTTGATATGAGTAGTACCAATGTAATACTTCCCTTTAAAGCTCTTTAAGCAGTTCCAGGGACACTTTTTCCAGAAAAAGGTTGGTGTTAACTTTGTTTTAAATGTTATACTTACATATATTCACTGCTGTGGTATTGTAGTGAAGGCAGACAAAGAAAAAACACAGTGAATGAAATCCAAAACTATTTTCTTTGCTTGGCAGAAATTCAGGTGAAACTGATACTGTATCTCATTTGTTGCTGTTTTAGGCTTCATTCCAAAAAGACAGAACTACTTTGCCTGCACCTACTCAGAAACATGCCGTAAGGCGCTGTCAGAGTTTCACCAGGATGGGCGTGCCAAGATCCAACGGGAATCGACAGAGCTGCCAGCTGTTGTCAACTACACCAACACACAGGTTGAAGTAACTCTCTCTCTCTTTTAAACCAACCCCCATGCACACATACATGTTGACATTGCACCTCTGAATAGGTTCACTCTTGTTTAATTATCCATAGTGGAACTCTAGTGTCAGATCACTGTAATGTAATCCACCCTGAAACAGACCGAAGCAGAACTGGTCAGCTCTCCAGAAGGGCCTGACACGGATTCACCAATTCATCTGAGATTCACATGAATAAACAGAACACAGCAGTGCACTGTAATCCACTGTCTTATTAATGTTTTCTGTTAACTAGCACAAAGTTACTGTCTTCATTTATTTTGCAATAGGTTTACATTAAACTTTTGTTCATTGGTATTACATTTACTTGAATATAGAATTTTAGCTGGTTGGATTTCTGAGTCATGTGTGTTTTTAACTGTTCTCTGTTATCATTTGACCCAGAAACCAAGACCCCACTTGAGAGAAATCTCCAACAAAGAAATCCCCTACAGGCCCTTAAAGTCCTTCACCCCCACAGGAAAACCATACTTCATGGATGATGATAACCCACACAAGTACTTTAAAACAGGTACATCAGATAACTTAACCAGTTGTTTCCTTCAAAATGCATTAGGCCACTAGTTGATATGAAAATGTTGTTATGGAGAACAATTGTCAATTTACACATCCATCAGATATGTAAAAGGATCAAATTATAATTTTTATTTTGGTCTCCACTTGGAGGGGAAATTAGGCTGTTTATATTTTCCTAAAGTACTCTAGAAGCTCACTGTGATGTCTTTTAAACAGGTTTTACAGGGCATGTGCCAACATCTCGCTTCCTAATTGGCAAAGGCTTCCCCATCACTACAAACCAGGCACTGATCCAGTTTGGGAAACAGCAGCAGACTGATCCCACGTCCCTAAGCATCCCGGGAAGGAGGGAAAGTACAATAACTCCCATTGCTACCATCTATCCATCAGACAGGGGTGTGGTGCCGTCCTTCACAGGACACATCCCAGGTCAGTGTCAGTGCTAGCAACACATTTGCCTTTTATCAGCTATTTTATAAATAGTATTGAAGAGATTTAATCTCTTAGCATCAAGTGTAAGCATTTCTCCCTCTGTGCCATCCCACAGGGTACCAGTTCACCTATGGACAAACCTTTGGCCAACTTTCCCAGAATGCACTGGAAAAGAGCGGCATCAAGAGGATCCGTCAGGCAAAATCATAAAACTATGCACAATACATACAAGGAACATTACTGGCAAGATGAAGTTGTGACATGAGTCAAGTTTAAGAACTATTTAGGAAATCCTCATGACATGAAACGCATGAATAAACATTTGTAATGTTTACTGTTGGCATACAAAGAAGTCTTTATTGACAGACTTTGATTGTCACTGGCATTAGAGGAAACATTCAGAGGTTGAGACAATGATGCTGGGTCAAATTATTTCACAGATTGCACATAATTACATTAATGTTCTGTATATAAACACACGTTCTGTTCTTTCCTCCTTCTTAACTAACTACTAGTCTATCAAAATGTAGCTGACACATTAAAGTACCTGAAACAGCCACCAGATGGCTTATATTGTGCAACTTAACAAAATTCACTGGAAGACATCCTACTGCAAACTATTTCCACACTTTTAGTGCCAGAAAATGTACAAAACCTAGCTCTTCACCAATACAAACATTAAGGGGGAGTTATAGGAAGAGATATAGGAAGTACTGAAGCACCTATTGTACAGTTTGTTTTTTAACTCATGCAGAAAATCCATGCTGGGGATTTGCTCAAACAGGGTACAGGAAACCAAACACCACTGACTATCCATGAGGCTGGTGTGTAGCATATTTGGCACAGTTACGAGTGTATTTTCTGGCTTTTTCCCCACCTAAAGATAAAATGTACAGCTATGTAGAGAATGACAGATATGTAAACACTGAATTTCCCCCTAGGGGGATTAATAAAGGTTCATCTTCTTCTTCTTCTTCTAAATAGATAATTTTGCACCACAAGTCTATAACAGGTCAAAATGCACATTTCATGATTTATAATTGCCTCTTATAAAGGATCAGTTTTTGAGGTTGAAATTGCAAATGGAGGAATGACCCTTAATCATCAAGCTACTTCCCGGTAAAGATCTCTGGATCTTCTGTGGAAATGATGCTAGTTAGTGGTGCTACACCAGCTTAAAATTAATGACTTTTAACTGGATAGTTTAGGGTTCCATGTTGCAACCTGACTTATGCTGCAATGCTCAGCCTGATGAATAAGGGCCATTGCTAAAGCTGTGATTCATTTAATTGATGTGCTTTCAGTTCAGTTGAGCAAACTATTATCATGCAGGTTATTACAGTAAATAAGCCCAACTCTGTCCTTCGTCCACAGAGGATTTAGTTTTCAGTAGTCCTTGTTAGTCTGAGTTTGCTCCTCCCAGCGTCATTGACCTGATGGATTGAGCCAACAGTCCAAGATGGGATCTGTCAAAATGCAGCCAGTGCGATGGTCGCCTGGACCTGTGAAAGCAATGATATATATATATATTAAAGTAGTAAGAAAATCACACAACATCTTTACCAGTTATCACGGCTGGTTCTTACCTTCTGGTTTGTGCTCCACTGTGACTCTGGGAAACTGTCTCTGTCCTGGTGGAAGTATCAGCGGCTCCAAACAGTTTGGCCCAGCGCAGCCCACCCTGATATGGACTCTCAGCCTGGACAAATGTGGTCGCAATTGGGGTCTCATTTTCCTTCTCTCCCATCCTGTCTTCATGTCTGCTGTCCATACTAATTTGAGACCAATTTTCTGCACAATTCTGTCTACAGTCCTCCCCTTCAACCACACCATCCACAAGGTCAGGCTTATTCGACCACCACTCTTGAATAGGAGCTAATGGGCTCCTGTTAGCCCAATTCACTTCACAGTCCTGCTTGATGCAATTCTGAGACCTAGGAGAGTCTTGGCAATGAAGGCCTGTCTGCTGTGAAATGTTGTTTTGCTGACTGTGGCTGCTGTAGGCCTTTTTGTCGGCTTGCAGTAGTGGCCAGCTGGTCACGAGGAGGGCTGAGCATGGCTGAGGAGGAGAAACACCATGCTCCTCCGAACACAACTGTCTGTTACGTAACATTCGAGGCTCCAGGAGCAAGTTGAGGTCAAAGGGCATCACAGTGAGCGGCTGCAGCAGAAGCAGCAGCTCCTGAAACAAGGGCTGACACTGACCCAGGGACATGGACAGGAAACCCCATGAATGGTAGTATGTCGTCACTAAATCTGTGGAGAAGTAACAGGTGTAAACAAAGATAGAATCAAATGCATTAGTGATCTAAAACTGGGCTAAATGCTATTGATAGCATGCTAACATGGTCAATAAATTCAGCGGGGAACTTGAATCATATTTCATGACAGTCCTTTCAATAGTCTGAGGGTGGACCATTTGCCAGGATATGTATTGGCACTCACCTTTTTGACTCTGAAGGTGACTGAGCCAGAATTCTAAAGCTCTCAAGCTGAAAGAGAAAACAAAAAAACCAACACAGGATTATAGTTTATGTGTACATTCATTCATTACCTTTGAAAGTGTGATGAAAGATTATCTTACTTAAGCAGGCCCATGATGAAGGCTCTCAGTCTCATGCATTGGCTGGAGAGTTGGGGAAATTGTCTGATTTTGGAGACCAGGCTGTGAAGGACCTTGGTGGATGGACCTGTTTCAGACCAAAAATACTTCATCAACAAACAGTTTACTACAAACAAGCTGCTCCATCGGTAGAGTATGCCACTATATTCATGGCACTTCCTTTGAGTCATCTTCACTCTTATGTATTTACCTATCCTAGTAGATACCTCCACCACACCCCAGGAGTGATTGCGACGCTGCCCAACGATGAAATCCAGCTTGTGATCCCTAAGCCCGTCCTCTAAAATATTCTGGATCGCCGGACACAAATGTTCCAGGACCAGGCCGCCGATTGTGGGACTGCATGAGCTGTTACCCAGTCGCATCTGCAGCAGAAGGAAAGAAATATGATACAATATATTTCCTGCTGACACAAGTTATTTGACTCCTGTCCTGCAGTGTAAGTAATATCAGTTTGGCGCTTTTCCATTGTGAAACATAGTTGCTTAGCTCTGCCAAATTCAGACCTTTTCTTCAGGGTCTCTGCTGCTGCCAAAATGTGCCATGATTAAATCCACGGCCCTGCTCACAGACCTCAGCAAACCTGGGGACATTGGACAAGGAGAGACATTGAAGATTGATGTATTACAATATACAATATGTGTTACATTGTAAATGCTATATTATGTAATTTCAGTGTATCATTTGTATGTGAAAACGTCCAGTGTGGTGTAGTGTTTGTTAATTGTTATGTACCTGCCTAAGGACTGGATGGAAATGAACTATTAGCTCAAATCTGGGATCTTTTCTGAGATTAATTTATTTGTATGCATGGTCCTTGTTTGAATAAATATAAACATTTCGAACCAACCTGTTTCCAGTACAAATCAATTAGTTTCTTTATTTGTGATTCCATAGCTGTAATTTTGATTGTCTGGTCACTTTTAGAAAATTATTTAAGCATGGTGATTTGTATTGGAAACAGGTTGAAATGATGTTCCTGCACTATTTTGTACTCGTTTAAAGAAAATAAGACTCAATCATGAACACGCTCCATAAAATGTCCACCTCCCTAACTGGGTCACTGCATAGAAACATGAGAGATTTCTTTCAGGGTTCATTATCATATTGCGGGAATGCAAATGTAAAAGTGAGCCAAAGATCAAAGAGTCCATTTTAGCAGCGTTCCTCATTGACTTGCTTTCCCTTGCTTGGCTTTCCTCATCTCATACTGGCTAGCCTCTGCAAATGTCATGGTGAATTCTTTATGCATGTTGATGCTGCCTGCAGTGCTGCACCACACTGATGGTTCACCACAGCGTCTCCATCCTTGGTTATCCATCACAGAAGGCTCACATTTATAGAATCAAATGTGCACGTGTGGGCCATATGGAAACACTAAATAAATATGTGTGTCTATAAATAATTAGCACTGTTTCTACTGCATCATCCTCTCCTCTTGTCTTCTCTTGAAGCGTGTAGTCGCACACACATAGGCTACAGAGCAGCAGGCTTAGCCAATCCCGTGCAGGGAGAGTTAAAAATAGGTCATGTTTGAGAGGAAGCCCCTTCAGGGTATTGAAGGCACTGCTGCAGCATAGTGACTTGTTTTTTTACTGTTCTCAACAGCTCATCACTGGCTAGACAATCCAATCAATTGATCATTATGATTTCAATGTTTTTCCATGTAATTAACATGTTTTACACAAAATATATATCAGTCATTCAGTGTCCTCACCTCTCCTCTGAAGATGGCTGATAGACATGGACTCATAAGATGTATCGGGTGAGAGGCAGAACTCTATGGGCGGCCTGTCACTCAGGATCAGAGTCTCACTGTGTTGACTCTGACTCTGCTTCCCACTGAGCCCAGCAGAGTGCTGGATTTGCAGCCCAGAAGCAGCCATGGAAAACAGAGAACTCAAATAGGAAAGAGGCGCTACAGAGGAGAAGGCAGCTGTAAAACTATTATTAAAAAAGCCAAAGTCAGCTGCAGGTGCAGCGCGGCACTGAGGGAGCTCTTGTTCAGCTTGTACGGCTGTGGGAGGGGACAGGGAGGCCTGCAGGTTTGGGTGATGGGTGTCAGTGGTCAGGAGTAAAGTGGGTGGTGTATGAGAAAATGTTGAGGGGGTCTGGGTCTGATACGGGACTCCTGGGCTCTGTCTTGGTTTGGCCCTGCTCAGGGGTGAGGTTAATAAGGTCCTGGTAGGCGGGACTTTTAACAAGGTGGGACTTAAGTGGGGCTGCAATCAAATTTGAAAAAGTGGTACTCTGAGGTGGGCTTGTGTTATCTTGAACCAGTCTCGACGGTGGGCTGTAGGTTGGATCCTGGCTGCTTTCGAATGTAAATGGACTTGGGCATCCTTGGCCTCTGCGGGACTGGCTCCATGCTCGACTGAAGCACTCTGGGCTCGGCGTGCAGGTGGAGCAGGTGTCGGAGCTCGAGGGAGCCTCCAGGAAGATGGGGCAGTGGTTGCCCATTGGTGATGCCTGCAGATTAGAACAACCTTGGCTGCTTTTGCCCTTGAACTTGAGGCCTGGTTGAGAGGTCTTGCTGCTCTTCTGGTTTATGTACTGCTCCAGAAGACAGCCCAAGTGCTGCATCTGGGGTTTGCCTGTGGGGACCAGAACAAAGGGCTGGATGGGCAGCGAGGTCGGTCTCTGGGCCTTACTGTAGCGCACCACTGCATTTTCCAATGAACATGCCCCTTAGATGGAGATAAAGGATAAGAAGAATATTTGGAACAGATGTTAGATTCCCTTAATACTGAAATAAATACAATTTAAGCAATAAAGACATAAAAACACTCTTTTTATCGCCTTACCCTTCTCAGTAGCATCAGTTTCACAGTGCTCCTGGTGCAGAATCACAGATGGCTGCGTGGACACGGTGCTTGTGCCTTGGCATTGACTGCTATGTGGGCTACACTGGATGGGGCACAGTGAATAGGGTGATTGGTAGAGAGGGTTTTGGAAGCTGTATGATTGCTTCTTTCTGTAGAGGGATCTCTCAGAAGAGGTCGTGGCAACTTGGTCATCATGGGTCTGAAACTCAGAGCAGTCAGCATGTGTGGAGGAGAGCCTCTTTTCCTTTTGGTGATCCTCTTCTTCCTGATGATGGAAAATATAAAGAACTGCTTAGGTTTACACAAACAAATCATAATGTAGTTTCACAGAAGATGTTTATAGAAAATATCTAGGAGAAAAGCTGTTTTATTACAACATTACCTTCATGACTTCTTTGTGTTGTGCTTCTTTCTTATGGTCAACAGAAAAGTGCTCAGAGGGAGGGAAGGGGCTACTTCTGCTCTGACCCTCGGGACAGCTGGTGAGGCTGGACCAGGCAGGACTGGGAGACTGGGAGGAGAGGTCACATGACACAAGCTTGTAGTACTTCTGGTTGGTCTCCATGGCCAATGTGGCTTGGCTTTGCAGGCAGGCAGCCAGATCTGATACCTCGAGCGAGGAGAGACCCGGGGGGGGCGGCTCCAGGGAGTAGAGATTGCAGTTTGAGTCGAGACCTTGAGGAGACCAGCAGGAAGCAGAGGGCGTTGTGTCAGCTTCCTCTTTAGGGGGAGAGTTATCTGCCATGTTATCATGTTGGAGACCCTCTGCTGGAGTCTGAGGAACAGGTTGGAGGTTGAGGAACACAGACCCCTCAGAGGACTGATAGGGGTGAGCTGCAGGAGTGCTGAGGTCATGCGGCGTGGCAGGGTTGTTGCTCCTGTTATAGATAGTGCAGAAATTAACCAGGACGCCATCAGAACTGTTACAGGAAGAGTCACTGACATTCTCTGTGTGAGTGTTGGAGAAAAGCTCTGGAGAACATTTGTGTTGGCGGTGGATGCAGCAGGACATGTTATCCTTCCGTCTGTCTGAATCCTTCTCTTTATAAGCCCTGACGCCAGATCTGCTCACATGGAAGCACTGGCATTGGGTCTGCAGTGAGTCCTGCTGGTGGAGCTGGTTAGAGATCCACTCATGGTCCCTCTCAGCCCCCAACATGGTTCCTTCATTGCCACATTCACCGCCCATGTCCCCGTGAGATATAGCACCATTACTTAGAGGCCAGTTGGAATTCCCATGCAATACAAAAGACGAGTCCTCGTGATATCTGTGTAGATTATCGCCTTCACTATCTTCCTCTTCCTCATCTTCATCCAGCGTTCTGTTTGGGAGGAATGAGTTGTGTGAGCGTAGAGTGTCTCTAGCTCCAGAGTTTTCCTTCTTCAGGTGGGAACTGGCCTCCTCCGGTGACGAGTTGGAGTCGTCCCTCCCGCTGCTGTCGCTGCCCCCCTCCTCCTCCTCCGCTCGATCCTCGATGAAACTGCCATGGCTGCTGGAGAAAGGTCTTCGGCCCCCGGTGAACGCATGTTCTCGGTTCAGAGAGTCTCGCTCTGGGAGGGACACTGCTCGGGTCAGACCCACTGGGCACAGCCGGCCGGGCCTCTTGGCCGAGCTGCACAGGGCCTGGACAGGAAGCTGCCAGGTAGGGAGCTGGACCACAGGGAAGTGGCACGCGATCAGGGTGTCACCTGAGTGACTGGATGCTCCAATCATATTGCTGGATCAGGCTGGACCATGGAAACGGTCTCCATGTTCCTACATTTAAATCCTGAAAGAGTCAAATAGAATCACATCACTTGTAAATACAATACTGATTTAAATGTGTTATCAGAAATGTGCAGGGAGATGTATACAGTACAAGAGTATATGTGGAAATACACAATACAGTAACATCACTACTACAGTACTATCAGTGCTACGGCGTACAAACTTGGGCTGTTTAAGTAATTATGTAGGCAAATTCTTAGCACAGTTAGTCTTAAGTTTAGACCAAAACTCTGTCTAAGATCTGGCCCTAAGAGCAGATGTACCTTTATAAAGCATTTATATTTAAAAGAAAATGTTTGTTTTTTAGCTTTACACAGTTGGAACATTGATACATGTTTAATTTAGCATAACTATAATTAAGATACATTTTGTTTAGTTGTGTTGCTGGTAGGGCTGTGCAATTAATCGTATTTTAAGCTCGATTACGATTTTGGCTTGCAACGATTACGAAAACAACGTAATCGAAATAAAACGATTATTATTTTTATAAAAATAAAAAAAAATGTAATTATTATTATTATTTTTTTTTTTTTTTTTGGGTTTTTCTGTTGAATTATACTTAAAGTTCAGGGTAATCAACTGTTAAAAACATACTGTTCACATTTTTGTTTCAATAAATGGATGTTTTCAAAGTAAATGGATAATCGTTTTTTTAATAATCGTGATATCAATTATTGACCAAAATAATCGTGATTAGGATTTTTGCCATAATCGCACAGCCCTAGTTGCTGGTATATGAATTGTGGATGAATTGTTTATGTTGATCTCCCTCGGGATCTGCTTCTTGATGTTTGAACTCACTGGCCCTCCTAGCTGTAATGCTTCGTCAGGCTTAAAGCTTCAGGGACACAAGTTAAGTGCATCTTTAAATGTAGGGTAAAACATCCCAACAGAGTAGAACAAAGATGAAACCATAAAGCACAACTGCAGGCTAATGCTGTCTGAGTCTGATCCCTCACTTCACATCACTGGTCCTGCAGCCAGAGTCCTGCAGCCAGAGTCCTACTGTGTTGTCTGCTTCTGGCCCTCACCATAGCCTCCCCTCCATAATTCAGTCAACCATTAACAGACCCCTCCTCTTGCTGCCTGGGCCAACCACAGTCCCTCTCAGTTACTCAGCTGCTCTGTAACTAGGGCATCTGCACTGCAGTGATGCTCCGCTGGCTCTGCTAACAGTAAATACAATTTTACAGTGTAGTTAATTTAACATGTTTTATACGCATTTGAGCTGACCTCAAAACACAGGCAGAGAAATAATGATTACCATCCCTTCATTAAACAGCTATGAGGACTGCTAAAAACAAAAATGTAAAAGCACATCAAATATTTAAACACTGGGGATTGTCAAAAAAGTGATAATGAATGTTGCTAGGATACACCATTTACTGTGTTTTTGCCCTCTGTAATGCTATATGTTGAAGATTTTAACAAGACTTGTGTTAAGAAATTCATTATTTGAGATGTCAGGTCCTCTGTCTTCAGACATTGTTTTGGGCTTCATGTCCTACATCATAAGGCATCGGTTCATAGAGTTCACGTTGATGTGCTACTGGGGGGGCACAACGTGGGTAAACAAACAACATCTGTTACAGATGACCATGAAGAGGTAATCCTCTTTAACATCACATGGCAACAATAAACAACATCCTTACCATGGCAACAGAAAGAAATCACATTGAAATCTGCTCAGAGGCAAATAACAATTTCAACATTAACAATATAAAGAGTTGCTTATGGACTTGGTGAACCTTTCTATAAAGCCCTAATATAAACAACACAAATACATAAAAGATATGTAAAATAAATCAAATTAAATAATATTAATTTAAATGTAAATGTGTCTAGAAAGCTATTAAATAACAACAGCAGACTAATGTTTGACTTTGGTTGTGTAACTTCACAAAGCTCAGGAGGAAGTGCAGGTAGGAGCCTTAAGCAAGACACTAAATCCCCAAATACTCTCAGTATGTTGTTTGGACAAAACTGTCTTATTTTATTAACTAATCCAGAAATACAATATATATTCTGTGGAGCAAGTCCTGCTGCTCTCTTTTTGATATAATCATTTTAAATCCTTAATGCTATCTCAGAAATAAGATTAGTGTCTCCGCTGATGCAATATGTGGGAATATATTGTTTTTAAAGGACTTCTTGCATTGAATCTGTATTGTTCCTGTCCTTGCTGATTTTCAACAGTAGCTGGATACCACATGAAAGTAGGCCAGTGTGACCGCCTAGTTGTCTGCAGAGGACTAACATTATCACTGCAAAGCGGATGTGAGGGACTCTTGCCTATTATTATCACGGCTGGAGGTCCCCCCGCTTGCAGCTCTTCCCCCTGGGCACTGGAGCAAGCTGAGATGGTTGTGATTAACTGAGCTGGATCATGGGAAATGTCTGTCAGGTCATGTCAGCCCGCTCACATGAAAGATGGGACTGTGTGGTTCTGCTGAAGCAAAGAGTCTCAGGTCCACTGTGGTTGTTTCTGTGCTTGAAGAATGAGATTTTTATGCTGCTCTCTTATAATAAGACATAATTACATGTATTCATGTAGTATCAAGTAGTATTCATGATAGGAAAAGCTCAGTAAGAACTCAACATAACATCAAATCAAATCAAATCAAATCAAGTTTTATTTATATAGCACATTTATAAACGATTTTTGGTCGAGCCAAAGTGCTGTACAAATAGTAAAAATACCCTACAGTAAAGACATTTTACAGCTAATACAACAGCACAATTTGTTCAGAATATCAGTATGAGAAAAAACGACATGATCAGATTTGATGTTTAAACCTGCATCTAGAGTAATGACACACAGACAGATTGAAGAGGAAGGTGTGTGTGTGTGTGTGTGTGTGTGTGTGTGTGTGTGTGTGTGTGTGTGTGTGTGTGTGTGTGTGTATGTGTGTGGGTGGTTAAAATGAAATATTCAAAGTGGCTGAAGTAGGACAACATGTCAGACACAAGAAGAGATGCACACATAATATTAATAATAATATAATAATATAGCATCTATTTCTCTCTTGACATCAAGGAAAAGTAAATAAAGCTAAAAAAAAACACTAGCACATTTCCAACGTATATCCTGAAATGCTTGAATATGATCACCTACTTGATAACAGTCGTCAGTCAAAGGCGATGTCCTCCATCTCCTTCCAGGTGAAATAAATACGGGGTTTGATGCAAAAACATGCAACCAAACAAGTCTTTAAATTAAAAACACGCTAGTAGCCTACTCGACGCAGTTCTCCCATCAAAGATGCATTGGAAATATCATACTCTCATCTATATTAACTGACAACCGACATTTAAATCTTTAGGTTGGTTACAGAGAATAAACAAGTGTATAATAGAGTAATTTAAACCCGGTTCGACACCGGGGTCCGTACAGATAGAGCGGACCCCACGCGCTGCTCCAGACCAACACAGCTCAGCCTACCGGGGGTATTACGTCACGCAGGCTTCAACCAATGAGGAGGGAGAAGTGCCTGCCAATCAAGGTATCAAAACATCTGGCAGGCAGAGTTCAGTTAAATAATAATAAAAATAGACATCATTATGAGTAGGAAGATAGCACATTTCCCTAATGATATGATTTCGTATATTATAATGATTGAGAACAGAAACACACATAATTCATTACACCAAAATAATATTATGGCCATGTTATCAATTATCAACTAATTCCCAACTGTTCATCCTTTTATTATCTTAAGAGCATAAGTGGTCACCAACATCAATATATATATCACAAGATAAGAACAAGATTAGGGTTGCAATAATAATTTTCATTAGTGAATAATCTTTAGATTACTAATGGGTTCATAGTTTAGTGAAAGGTCAACAATATGTCAATTTCAAATCCTCTTTTTTAGAAAGACTGAAATCAGAGTCTAATGGCCATTTTTCACTATTTTTGCTTGAAAAAGACAGTATAAGTACTAGAAAAATGAACCCCCACCTCAGAACCAAATCATTGTATACTGCATTTAGAACTATCCAGTGAGGCCTTTTATAAGTAACTCTTTACTATAGAGTTAAACATTGTATCAGTAATATGTTATAATCAGTTTACCACAGATATTAGGTAAAATCAAAAATGAGCCGGTGGCACAGTCATCTCCCTAAACCTGGTTTAGATCGCCCTCCAGTGGTGAAAAAGAACAGACTTCAGCTTTTGATGCATCCATTTTCTAGGAAGGTTGTAAGATGTATGACACATGAATCCCTCGATTAAAGGTAAAACATCGAAGCATAAAACAGTGCATGTGTGCATTCATTCCAGCTTGATAAGAAGGAGGCAGCCTCACTAAGTTAACCATGTTACCTGTTTCAGTGCTGGAATGAGTCTAAAACATTGATTCATGCAGAGCCAACATATTTTTAAATGTCATGTCATGTCATTTTTAAATGTCATGTCATGACATGTCATGTTTCACACAGATGGGCCATTTCTTTTTTTTTCACCAACCAACATAAACGTTTTAATCTTCTTCCATTGCATTAAAAGAGTAGAATGAATTGTGAGGAACATTTTTAATTTGTTCTGAACTTGGTAAAAAAAAAAGAATGTGTGGACATACAACCTCTTGTAAAAAAAACATTTAAGTGTCTACATTGTTCACAATATTTACAAATACAAATGAAATAATAACATGAACAGATAAACTCACAAAAATGTGCAAGTATATTTATATTTTCTTATTTAAACATTTCGTACAGCATGTCTGATAATTGTTATAATGCAATTGTAAGAAACGATATTGCTCTAGATGGAGCCATTTTTATTTGTTTGTGTGAATTCTGCATTTACAGCTTTGTTTTTCTGCAGTGCCAGATCAGAGAACTTTAACTGAATGCACAGTCAGGAGAAGCATCAGCAGGTTTTCAGTTTAAACCAGATTATTACAACATTAAGGTGATTTATGATTCATCTTGAGACTGGTCACTTGGGTCCATTAGGCAGATGTTTGTTTTGTCACATTGAAGGTGTTTTATCTGTGTTTCCTCTTCTGAAGGAACATATATGTTTCCTGTAAAGATAAGGAGCAACTTTATTGCAGGGTCATAACTGTCTGACTTTGTCCAAGCCATGCAAAACAGACGTGGACACAACTTCACACGCTGCACAAATACAGCACAGAGAAACAATTGCATGTTAAATCTGTGAAAACTCCAACCATGGTCACATGTCTGTTAAATATCATTGAATGTCATTTGGATCAATATATCTTATTTCACATTAGCGACAAAACAATTAAGAAATACAGACCCTAAAATTGTTAAAAAACACATCTTCGTAATGTGAAAGTAAGTTCCAAAATGGGTCAAATGTCTGATTAAGTGAACAATTTCAGAGGAGTGTTGCCGTACCTGCAGTAGTTTGTGCCACATTCTAAGTGGTCCCTGCAGCTGGCCCCCACAGGCTTCATGCTGTTCCAGCGCCACAGGAGCGACCGCTTGGTCCGCTGTATCAAACCATCCCAGTCTTTAGGCACAGGCGCTGAATCCACCTGTGATAACACATATAAGATTAATAACTGTGATGAAACGCATGATTGATGCTGATCGAATCAGAAGACATTATGTTCTTTATTAGCAGAAAATAGATCAAATAAACAGTAACAGAGGGATATTAACCCATACACATACCTGGATGGCACATATCAGAGACAGAAACACTGAAAGAACGATGATCTTTTCTTGAACAGTCCTCATGCCGTTCGCAGATCAGGTTCAAGAGAGTAGAAGTTCTGCGGCGGGGCTGGTGTGTTGTGTCATGCAACGTGTATTAAAGGCTTTGATTAGGGTTTGGGAGGGAGGAGTTAGCTGTTGACAGATATCAAAGATTAATACTCCAATTTAGCTACTTTAATGACTCAGGCTAAGGTATGGCAGAGAAGCTGATCTGAAGTCATTGGCAATGATGCAGACCTCGTTAAACCGTGGAATTTATCAGTTTTATAATGACAGACAGAGTCAAAAGGTTATCTAGAGGGAGCCAAAGTACACTTTAACCCTGCAATTGAGGACAATTCCACGTCGGAGAGTTGTAACTGAAACCTCAACATGGGATTGTAGAAAATGTATCCATCCACCCATTTCACCCGTGGAGCTGCATGATTTTGACTGTGGGAGGACGCTGAAGGAAATCCATGTGAACGACACAACAACTCTATAGTAGAGATTGCTTACTTTTAAGCCATTTTAGTGAGAGTTTCTGGCCAAAGTGGCATATTATTTGACCAGGCCAGTGACCTGCAGGAGTCTGTGGCTTTCCCGACAACCTCACTGCACCCGGACAATAAATAGTTCCACTACTAGTATATCAAGTAAGAACATGGAGTGAACACAATATACATCAATTTATTTATTAACAATTGAGGGTACATTTCAACCTCAAAATGTGTTCAAAGCAGCAATGGAAACGGGCTGAAAGACATAGTATAAAATAAGGTATACAAAAGTAGGTAATATAGGATGTTGACATGTAAGAAAAATGTATGGAGTAAAACAAATATAATGATGCAGTATCATTATGTAAAGCTACATCTATGAAAACAAAAAATGTATTTAAAAAAATCTGAATATCAAATGCAACCTCAATTAAAAACTGTTAACATTATTTTACTCATTTAAAGCAGGTTTGTGTGTGATATGTCAGTTTTTCAAAATACTACGGTGCACAACTATTAGTCATATTGGATAATCTGTTGAAATCAAGAGAGGTGTGCGAGTGTGGGTGTAAATCTCCATGGATGTTTGTGTGTGTGTCTGTGTGTGTACTAAGGTCACTAGGTGATAAGTAAAGTTTCAAATCCGACTTTCTACGTTTGCCAGTAATAAATTAGTCAGACAAATCCCTGAAGTTTGTCATTAAGGAAATTCTTGCTTAACTGCATGGTGACATTATATACCAACTATTCACTTTATCAAATCATCTTGTCTAGGAGGAAACACAAGGAGAGGGTTTGAAGCACAGCAGGTTTATTAAAGGTTGCGGCAAACGGCAAGACAATGTTCAGCTTGTTAGATATTTGACCTATTGACCATATGTAAACAGTGATTACATATTGATTGTTGCTTTGTATGGGTAGTAGTGTAAACAATAATCTGTAACATGTGAAACCAAGACCACAACAACATTAAAACAAGTCAGCCTGTCAGTTATGTGTGTGAAATAGTGGTTATTCAAATAGCAAATGACACATTGTAATGACATTCTACAGTACTTAGTTCTGGACACAAAATCTATTTCATTTGAATCCAATAGGCTGTTGGCAAAGAAAATAAAGAAAAACATGTATTTCTTTTTTACCAAGAACCCTAAATAAAGTAACAATAATCAGATACAATAATGTTATTTAGAAGTGCAGAATTGAACCATATCATTTATGGACAATTCGTGGTGGTTAAAAAGAAATACATAACTTTCTTTTTTGCCGTGTCAGTAGCATCAAGCTGGTCTTGCACTGTTTTAAGGATATCAGTATGAGAACTCAGACATAAAATACAACATGGTGCTTTACACCATCATGGGACAAGACATTGTACCTTGCACAAGACATACAAGTTCCCTTTATACTGCTTTTGGTGAAGTAATACACATTATGATATTTGCATATATTGGGATTAAGTGGATTTCCATTTAAGGTTACAACAGACTAAGAGTACATGGTATTAAAAGGAAGCCGAGATCACTTTATATTCATGACATCAAGAATAAAACATTATGCCAGCAGTCGTTTTGCACAGCTTGACCTTGTCATTCAAAAAAGTGAAATGTTGGTGTGAAAAAAGAAGGATGTGACTCTTGCATTAAAACAGCGTTGCTAACTTTCTTCCTACTGATGCTTCAACAATCTCACTAGAGCAGGCTGAAAACAGGCCTATTTTATAAACACACGCCGACAGTATTCCATGACCACTATTTCAGTTCTGCAGGCATTCATATCACGGACGGACGGACGGACCGTCGCGCGCACACACACACACACACACACACACACACACACACACACACACACACACACACACACACACACACACACACACACACACACACACACACACACACACACACACACACACACACACACACACACACACACACACACACACACACACACACACACACACACACACACACACACACACACACACACACCACACACACCACACACACACACACACACACACACACACACACACACACACACACACACACACACACACACACACACACACACACACACACACACACACACACACACACACACACACACACACACACACACACACACACACACACACACACACACAATCCGTGACATTATATTTTCACATCAATTCCTGGGGGTTTGATCATTTCAGAGCCCATAATTAAAAAGGTATAAAAGAAAATCTTTAAGATTTAATTAAAAAAATAGGGATTTCATCATCAATACAACTTACTTGTAAGGGAGACATTAACCTCATCCCTGTAACAAACCTCTTCACTTTGTTTTCCTAAAAACATTGGATTAAAAAGCTGGATAAAAAGATGTAATTTTGGTAATTAATTGAACTATTACTCTGGGGTTACTGGTAGGAATTGCAGCTCCATTTAACCCATGAATTATTATGCAAATATGGCAGTCCTCCTTCTTTAAACGTACGGTTTGGTGCTATGACGAGAGCAGGGGCTGCCGTTCAGCTGTGGTGCTCTGAAAGAGAAAACACACACAAAAGAGTTACCTTAAGACATTTATGAAAACCATGTCCATTTATTTACATTTGCACATAAATATCTAACATTTTCTTATGTACAATAATACATATTCTATAGGAAAAAAAATATAATATATATATTTTTTTATTGATGGGCAACGTTTATATTCTCACTCTTCTGTTTCATCTTCTATTTTGAGATGTTTATATTGTTTAATTGTTTATTATTACTCTTTTTATTTTCTAATTATGTGCAATACTTTGTTTTACATGCTGCTGCAACAACAACAAAAATCCCAATTTGGGATCAATAAAGTTTATCTTATCTTATTCAACTTTGGCAATTGCCACTTCAAATAATATTAGAGTAAATTATTTATGCTTGTTTTCAACATAACCACTAGTTCTGAAATGATTATTCAATGAATCAATCATTGATCGCAAGAATATAAATAATTATTGCTAACAATTCTGTTAATTGTATTTTTCTGTGTTTTTTTAAATAAATATCTTTGGATTTTAGACAATAAGTCTGACAGAATGATTTATTTTGACACTCCCTAGACCTCACTATAAATCTATGAAAGAAAAACATTATTAACTGATTTATTATTAATGAAAATAATAGTTTCCTGCAGCTCTAACGACCACACAAACTCATGAATGTCCATCTGAAGCGCTCACCTCTGGGACGTTCTGCCGACACATCAGGAACATGAAGATTCCTCCCATAATGATGGCGATGCCGATCAGTATGAAGGGGATGTTCTCCACCACGTCCTGCTCCACGATTATCTTCCTCAGCTTCGCGGCCGACGCGTCGTCAATGACAACGCTCTGTGTAGATGGTAGCAGAGAGAGATTCAGCACAACCAACAAGACGGTAGAAAAAGAAAACTGACAGCGTTAGGTTATCGATGTAAGTAAAAAGTATTTCTTATTCTGCCATTTCATGTGTGTAATTAATGTCTCAATTAGTGTGTGTTTGTGTACCTCATTGAGATACACCACGGGAAGGATCACTGTCCTCACGTTTCCTGTTTGACTGAAAGAAAAAAAGGAAATTATTCAAATGTTTTGCATTTCGTTCCTATAAATTAAATGAATAAATGGCATAAAGACATTCAGACAGCTGTTAATATTGCAATGGCTCTCCGTTTAAAGTAAGTTCAAGGTTCAAGGTTCTTTATTGTCAATCTGACATAGCTACAGAGTAATTATGCAGTTGAAAATCTTATGTCACAGGCTTCTCCAACAATGCAACATAGTGTACAGTGTACATTTAGTTTTCCTACATATCATTTGACAACTTGTAGATCTATTATTGACTAGTGCTGCTCAATGGTTCAATACATATTTTATATATTATTTAACAGAACACCAAAATGTAGTTCAGTTTAACATCTCTCTATTTATTGCTGATTGATATTCAACAAAGTGACTGGATATTTTCCACATAATGTGCAGCCCTTGTCTAGACTCATATTACATCAAGATTGTTTTTTCCATCAGATGTCAAATAGATCCACGAGCCACGAGTGTTCAAGAGTCCATTCATAGTGATGATGCTGGCATGATTGCTTTACTGTTATTTTAATGGCAACCCTTTCCTGGACCTAGGTAGTCATATCTGTCACCGTTGCATTAAAGCCAACAAGGGGGTGCCGTGACGTGAGACTGATGAAGATGTGAACTGATTACCTGAAGGCGGACATTTTCTCAACAAACACGTTGATCTGGAGCCGTTTGGCAGCTTGAATGATGATTCCAGTTAGCTGCAAAACAGAATGACATTTGTTAGGAATGTATGGTTTAAAAGACACACCTGTCAATCCTGATGTATGAACATTTACGGCTCATTATAACATTTAGCAACACAACATATTTGCCAAGACACTGTGTTTTATAACAGCTAACACACCAACGTACTGCACATACAACAGAGATGCATCTACAAGAGGCAAAGGTAAAATCGCAGCCTGATGCTGGCACCGGATGAGGGTTATTCTGCCAGGGAAGTTGTACAGGGCACCGCAACCCAGCATTTATGACAGAAGTCGCAGCACTTTGACCAATCCCAGTGATCTTATGCAGTCACACAATGGAGATGATCATATAACCAGGAGAAAACCAGACAAAACAGTAGCTTAACAGGGTTCAAAGACTGATTACAATAATAATGCCACCACAGTACATGTCTGAGTTAACTAAAGTATAAGTGAATTCAATTGAAACAAAAGTGTGATTCAGAAATGCACGCTGAGTAACGCAAATGGAATTAATGTTCGTGTGCATGTTTTTTTCCTGAACTATTTTACTGTCTTTGATAGTAGTGCATCACAATGTATATTTACTTTTTTCTGAGACTAAACTTCAATTTAGAAGATGACACATGTCAAGGAAGACCTGTAAAAATCAGCATGAAGAAAAAAGTTAAATAAATACTTCATGCAAAGCAAACACTACATGGCTGCCGGAGAGAGCCATGAAGAAAGCCTAAAACTGAACTTCATTAAGATGATAGCATATATCTGCAGAAATTGAATTTCCGGTTATACACGTACAAGGATGAACAACAGTGCATCAACACTTTGTGCTACTGGAGTGTTTTTCTCAGTCTGCTTCCTTTTATTATGGATTTATTACTGGCTCAACCACGTTATTACAGAATTACACATGATAAGAGCTGTTAGAGCTTATCTTTGGCGACAGCTCCGTTCCACGTACCAATGCTTTCATCTTTAACCGATTTTACTACTGCTTTGTGGGTATGGCAAGGGCTGGCAGTCACAAAGCTGAGATACTTCGCCATCTAGTGGTAAACATTAATGATACTGTTTTTTTGTAGCAGCTTTGTACATTTGAACTATTTTTTAACAACCTGAGTGTATAAAGTAAAGAAAGAGTTGAAACATTGTGTACACGGATAATTGTCACGGTCTGTCTGTTTTGCTGTTTTATTTTGAAAAGTGTTCTTGTGTCTGCTTCCTGTCTCTGTGTTTTCCCTCCTGTTTGATTACTGATTCGGTTCCCCTGGGGCCATTGTGTTTTTCCTGTCCTGCCAAGCTGTGTCTTGTCCTTTGATTATTTCTGCATGAATTTAAGTTCTGGTTTTACAGCTGGTTTTCTTTGAGTTTAATAAGGAGAGAGTTCTGGTCTGTATGCTGTATATCCAGTCAACCTTGAATAAAGGTTATTTTATGTTTAAACCATTGTCCGTCTGCACTTTGGATGAACCTGCTCTGCTCACCACTGACAACTACAAGTCCCCCTCTACTCAAAAATGTGTTTGTTACTTTACGGTAATGTTCATTCATTGTTAAGAACATGAATGTATCAAATGGAAACTTGACACCTTCAGTGCACACTCACTGTGAATGGACTCAGTAAAGTCAGAGATATCTTTTGTCTTTTAAAATAAAACGTTTTTGTAAATTCACGAAAAAATACCAGACACAAATTACTACTTGAATATGGATATTTTAAATATCTTATAGCCTGTCTGGAGAGAATAATTAAAGGTGAGATAATTACCGGATTGATATCAATTGCAGTCTGGTGCTGCTCCTTCTTAGGCCTCATGCCGAACACATCCTGAACAAATTTCTCATCGGCCTGGTAGAAGTGAGGTGTCGACATTACGATGGGAGCTCCTGAACACACAAAACATTCAGTTAGTAACATTATAGAACACACTCAGCTGAGCAGGTTCTTTAGAAAGCTGTTTCGTCAGTCAGCTTTCTAAAGAACCTTTTCCCATGTGAGACGATAAAGTGTTATTCTGGCTTTTCCTTAATGCCCTTCCTACCTTGTTTACACGGGCTGACATTCAGAACGCCAGAGCCCAGGCAGTTTCCAGCAGGGGACACAGAAGCCGGCGTTGGCAGGGTTCACTGTGTGATTGGCAAACACCTCGCTAGGGGGACTGAAGCGATACCCAGGGATCCCCTTCACCGTCACATCCTCCTCATACAGAGCGTACAGAGACCTTGGAAACAGATGCTGGTTAATCTATGCAGACACAAAGCAATTATGTGAAGCTGGAAGTGAAACAAAGGGGGGTACACACATGTGGTACATTGGCGTGTGGTGGTATGTGATTTAGTGAAAACATGCACAGCACAAACAAGAACCAAAAGTGTTTAAAGGAACATGTGGATGCCTCACAGGCCTGCTGTCAGTTACTTGAGCCACTCTCACTTCTGATGTATGAAGAGCTGATTTAAATGTTTTAATCTTCACGAAATATGTAGTAAGCGTACAGTGACCTTATTTTTGGCCAACCATACAACCAGTCAGGCTAAAGGAATAATCCTAATCCCACATCCAGACACAAATAATGCTGAGGGAAAGGATTAGGAATGTATTTTTTTAGGAAGACTGAGGCCCCGGCTCCACGAGGACAAATACGGCAAAACGCATCGGAGTAACGCAAATGCAACCGCAAAAAACCTTCCGTCCCCACGCAATATACACCGGATTGTGTCAAGCTCCACGAGACGGCTCCGTTTACATCCAAACGCTGGAAAAGCTGCAGTACATATGCCGAACCTGTACGTGGCGCTGTAACTTCCTCCACAAAAGCAGCAACTTCCTCCACAAAAGCAGCGAAGAAGAATGGTTGTCATGGCTGCACTTCTGTGTATTCTCCGCGGTGGGGGCCGACAGAACCGGGCAGAGTTTTTCGCCGGTCAGCGTGTGTTAAAGTTTAAATCTTCCGGACAAAATTATAAAAGTGCCGGTCAAAGGTCTTCATTGTTATTTATTGAGCTTTAAAACAAATGAATAACGACGATATAATGATATATAATAATAAAATACACGGAGCCTGTCTCTTTTTCCTCTCTTCTCACAGCGTCAGTGTCTGTCTCATGCAGCAGCTGATCCTGTAATGAGTGACCCGACAGTAAAAATGAACATATTTATAACTAGTTTAGGTAGTTTGAGAGGTAATTAAAATAGCTAAGGGTGATGATCTGATTTGAAGTGTGTGTTTTGCTCCCGCTGCATCACAGCGGCAGGAGCTGCGTGTCTCCGTCCTGTCAGATTAGACTTCACTCGCGTTTATGTCCATATCGAGATAAAGATAAATAATCTGAATTCAAGGAGGAGCTCCTGTAGATGTTGCACAAAGAACTGTAGCATGGTCAGTAGCGACTGGAGCACGATAGCAACCCTGCGGGGGAGAGGCGGGGCTATGAAAACGAATGACCGTATAGGCGACTCCACGGCCCCGTTGGACCCCCCAGAGCGCTCTGTTCCCAGATCTATCCACCTTTGGACCCGTTGTCGTTTGCGGGGTCTGTTTCTACGTTTCCCTTACGGCGTCGTCGAGCTTAGAGGGCTATACGCATGAGAAATATGCGGATTCAACCCGTTTTCGTCCTCGTGGAGCCGGGGCCTGAGGGGGAAGTGATTTCACTAACCAGCTAATGTCAAGCAGATAAGACCAGGAAATGTGACTCAGCAGTAGAGGAAGCAGAAAACAATACCTAATTGAAAGCAGCATTATCTAAAGCTCTGCTGCTTCAGTCGTTTGCTTCCTACAAACCAATATTTATGTAATAATTTATATTTGTTACTTGTTTTTTTCATTATTTACAGATTATTATTTGTGCATGTTCTGTAAATATGTAAGTCCTTAAAACAAACTAAATAATGCTTTTAAATGACTTAAAGGGGACCTATCATGCAAAATGCACTTTTGTACGTCTTTTATACATGAATATGTGTCCCCGGTGTTCCAGGGAACTCACCAAGTGTCAGAAAACACAACCCTCTCTATTTTCCTCCATACCCAAATCTCTAAAAAAGGGGCTGCAACGGATCTGATAAAAACTGATCCAGATTTGAACACTGTCCTGACGTCAGGACGGTGGCGCTACGGCTATTGGGCCAACTCCACCAATCAGGAGGAGGCAGCCACGGCCATTGCCGTTCGAAAGCGCTGGAGACGCTGTAGTACATATGCCAGGCCTGTAGATGGTGCTGTTCTCACAGAATCAACCCTTGCAAAAACAGAGCTAAAAAATGTAAAATTGAGCAAAATGAGGCATGGCTAAAATGCATGATCTGTTTGGTATTTTGAAAAAAAAAAGTATAAATATGCCTTATATAGGTATGGTCCTACACTATATTATTCAAATATAGCATGATAGGTCCACTTTAAGAAGAGCAAGCTAATAAAAAAACAGAGAAAAAAACACTAAAATAAGACGTGGGCTCATGCGAAGGCTCATCTGACTGTATATAAGAACATCTTCTAGAATCTTATCTAGGCATTGAAACATACATTTATTATACTTTTTGGTACATGCCCAATACACACATAGACACATTTTAGCCTACTAGCAGCATGGTCTCTTTAGAGGTCAGTAAAACACTCTGCGGTCCACTCACCTGCACAGGTCAGAGGAGAACATGTAGAGGGTCTCATTCTTGGTGATGACTGGATGGAAAGAGGCTCCATTGGTTCCATTGATCATATTGCACTCATCAGATGTCCACCAATCCAGTTTGCTGCACACACAGAAACATACAATTACAATAAGATCATTCATGTTTTCTTTATCAGTTTTTCATTTATGAATTTAAAATCCTGTAAGGTTTAAGGCATTTAGAATACCCAGCACCAACCCCTTTAATAGCTGTTCCTTTGTCAGTTTGATTAAAGATTAACAAAGCTATTTGTTAGGCAAAATTATGTTAAATGCTGTCAATAGTGTGGGCTTGAAAATAATCAGGACAAAATATGTTGAAGGTCAGAAAAGATTGGTGAGTGTGTTGCTGCTCCTTATTCCTCAACAGTAGTATTGAATGGGGTCAAGGAAGAGTTTGACATGTTGGTGCTTATGCTAGGCTAGGCTAACAGTCTCCTGGCTGTAACTTAGTATTTACAGTAACTGAGCGAAAAGTTAGTGGCTTCAAAAAAAGGAAATAAGTATAACTCTCTTACAGACACAATAGAAGAGTGTGAATGAATCAGAGGAGATTAACAATGGTGTGGCTTTCTGAAATGAATAGCTCTGATTAAAGACACTTGTCAATTGTGATAAGACAATGTCAGGAGAAATCTCTTAATGTAATCAAACAGGGTGAGACGAGCCTTGATCATATGCCCGTCTTGTACTGATATAATCATGAGACCTAACTCTCATCCATGTATGCTTCATGTACTGTAATCAATGATTGTCACTGATTAGGTCTCATTCATTCACTGTCATTGTTATTTGTTCAAGGTGAGTTGATACAATTACCTTTCACCTTTCCACGTATCCACTCTGGCAAAGTCCTTGTAGTTCTGCTGGCCAGTGAAGAAGACATACTCCCCATCGTTGGAAGCATTGGTCTGTAAGCAAAAAAGGAACATTTTCAACAAACAGCTCAAACAAATAGCAACTCTTGATTTTCTGCGATTTTAATACAATTTATTTGCAATTATCTCATATAGTTTATACCATTTTAATGATCAACAAACTCAAGTCTGGACAAAGTGTGCAATATCATATTTATATTAGTTGTTGTTGCTATTTTCTCTTCCTGCTTGTAAAGCGTCATTGAGCACCAGGAAAAGCACTATATAAATACCATGCATTATTATACTTGACCTTATAGAAGAGTCCAAAAACATTGTCCAGGTTGGGTTTTAAAAGTTTGAGGGCTTTGAGTAGGGGGTCTTCATATCCCCACAGCAGCTCCCCCACTGTGCGTGTGGTGAAAAGGCCTTCGTTTTCAGACTTCATGTAGGAGGAGATCAAGTTTGCAAAGAAGAAATCATCTTTGAATTGCTCCATCACCGTCTACCGGGAAAAAGAAGACAGAAGACCTTTGTTGTAAAGCGATACATGACAGAAGTTATTTGAAGACAACCACGTAATGGGATGAATCATTTACTTGAATCACATTTTTTATCATCTTTATGAGAGTTCACTTCACAGTAGCACAACAGAACATATTATAAATCCTATACCTCCAAAGCATCATGTACTGTTATATCTTTGTAACAATAAAAGGAAAGCACATCTACTGTAATGAAGATAAATGGCAACATCGTCTTATACATTTTGGGGCAGGGGAGACAGAACATTTTTGTATTTAATTAAAAAGATAAATTGATGTAACCTGTGAGTCTGTTGTTACACCATTTGAGTGATGTCATTCTTAATTGTTTCAAAAATAATGTTAAGAAGATTTGTTATCTATGGATCTTTAATACTTGACCTTTAAAGTATGAGGAAATTATAAGAACTCATCATTAAAAAATAAAAATAATATTGTGGTTGATACACAATACAACATTAATAAAACAGTATAATATTAAACAACACAAGCTGTAAATGGATCCCTAATGCTCACTATTGCAGGGATGTTGACCGTCCTGATGAGATCACTCTCTGGACCCCGGGACATGTCTCTCTGAAATATGTAGGTCTTTGTGTTGACAGATGCTACTTTGGTGCCATTTTCCTGGAAGTCCACTTGCTCCATCGGCCGGTACTCTCTGTGTAGGAAATGACAGCAGCTGGGTTATAACTGGGTTTATGGTAGAAAGATGTTAACTCTTAGTTCCTTGTTGCAGCCAAATATTTAAAGACAAAAAAATGCAATACAACAATACAATAGGTTGGCCTATTATCTTATTACAGTATCTGCACCTCATACTACAGAGAAGAGGCTATTGTTAAATAATTATAGAATTATGTACTGAAACTATTAGTTCTGGTTTAAATATTGCATAACGAAGGGAGAGGTTTCCATTGAAGTCATTTCAGGTCCTGAACCAATGTGATGTGAGGACAAAATAAGGTTAAATCATCTTTACAGTCAATACTGACTCCTGACTATTCAGAATGATTTGTAATGACCACGAGTAAAAGGGAAGTTTTCCAACCAAGATGCACTATAGTCATGCTTTTTATGTTAACTCTAATTGAACATGATGATCTTGAGGCAAGGATACCAATTACAACTTCATAAGCAATGTATTTGATTAATTATTGAATATAATCGATTCATTTGTTGACTTATAATCTTACATTTTGTACTAAAGTGAAAAATGTATTGTTGATGCATGTTACGAATTCATGTTTGCAACTGCCCTGCTTATCTATTTCTAGTTCTTCCTTTGTGTTTTACATAATCTAATCATCACCTCTTTAACACCTTTCTGCATTGATGATATCATCAGTTTTGATTTGATTTTACAGAATCAACAATTGTGCTTCTTAATGGCTTTGTGGCTTTCTTTTACTGTGACATCTGCACTTCTGGTTTATGAAATAGACGACCAGAGTAATTAGAGTATTTTTCCTTTTCCTCACCTGTATGTATATGGTCCGATCTCCATCACAGCAGGCCGATCTCCATCCAGCACCTCCATGGGGTTTGTCAGATTGAAGAAGTAAAACTGCATGTAAATAGGGGCTGGTGGATTCTCCCAGGCCTCAAACGCCTCTGTGCCATTCTTCAAAACGACTTCCTATGGGGAACAAAGAGCAGTGGGTTATATGTAGTGCACAGTTGAGAAAAATGTGCAACTTCAGATGTTGCTGACTAAGCTGTCCTCACATCATATGACAAAGGCTGCTGCAAGTAGTTAAATCACAATATGGATAAGCAGGCATGATATGATATTTAATAAACATTGCAATGACGTACGAATTTCACAAATCTAAAATAAGTTATTTCAAAAGACAAATATAAAAGTGTGCCAGATATATATCTGTTATAGATTTGAATATGCAAAACAAAAAACCCCACCCAAAACAGCTCAACACTTGTTCATTCAACTGGCTAAATAATTGTCTATGAGTATCGGGAGAAGCTGGCTGTCAGAGCTTGCTAACTTCATGAGTAGTGAGAACATAAATTCCTTAATGTTAGTCATTGGTAAAACATTCAATTTTAAAGCCAGCTAGCTAAATACCTAATGTTAAAGCTGCCCATCAGACACACCATACTGATCTCTATGGCAGAATCGAAACCCATCAGACTGTCTGCCATTTCGTCACAATAACAATAAGCTAACTCACAATAACCGTCACCAAAAACGTTAAATAGTTAGTGATCATCTAACCATAACGCCTACATAAACAAGGTTTCCCAGAATAAGATGTTTGGCATACCTTTTTAACCACCGACTGTAGGATATGTGGAAACACGTTAGACAACACCAAAGAAATGCCGGCAATCAAAAGTAGAATAGAAAGAACTCCGGTGCTGTAAATACAACATGATTTCAGTTGCATGGTGGAAAAGCAGACAGATATGTAAAGGCAGTAGCTCTCACTGACATTAGCTACCGTCTGTGTGTGAGCGCTGTTTATGTTTTGACGGCCCAGGAACTTTCTGGGTGAATCAAAGACTAACATCCGGAGTGAAATACTTCCCTGTTACCACTTCCGGTTTCTTCGACATTCGCGATCTTCCTGGAGCACGAGCCCTAACAAACGCACTACAGTGATAGATTTGGAGTGTCCCCTTTTAATGGATGTCGTAATTTATGATATAAAATGTGATGGCTGCCTATAAACTATTAAATGAGAGACGAAATAATGCTGGCTGTTGAAAGCTAAATAAAGCGGAACATATCTTTCTTGTAGGTAAAGACTCTTTGTTTTTAATCGCATGACAGTTACGTCATTCATTAAACCTCAGTCTTATGTGGATCTCTCTGTTTCAAACATACATGATTACATAAAAGACAAAATAAAAAAAACCTCAAGAGACAAGCTAAAATTTAGCATTGAGTGACTTATTAATTATTTGCAGTTTTTACATGAATCAAGGACAGTTCAACTTCTACTGTGCTGTTCTTGGGCCTTTTTGGGAAGACACTTTTTGTGAGCCGTTTGAGGTGAAACATTTAAATACAATCCAACAGTTATCCTGTTTGCATAGTCATGTTGAAACGGTTGAAACTCAGGGTATAGCCAGGTCATGTCAGTGTAAACAAAACCTGAAGATTTCATTGCACCATTGTCTCTGTTTCTTTAAAACATGTCAAGCTGTGTTTTGTTCAATACTGATTACCAGCAAACAACCAAACATTCACACACTTTTATGAATAATCATATTAAATACATTTTTCACAATACAGAACAACAGTGTAAGAGATTGTTTCTCCACTAGGTGTCACTGTCTTGACATTTACTAATATTTCGTGCCAATGTACTGCCTACATTCTTTGTTGGTCTATAAACTGGAGCCATATCTGTTGAGTCAACATTTCGTAATAAAAGGGACCACACCTTGGCTAAACAGACTAATCTATGAGCAGGTATCTCTGTGTCATATTGTCTCTTGTCCCATTTCCATTTTTCTGATTCATTTAATTTAATTTCAAACCTTTATTTATCCAGGAGACCTGCAGCAATTAGGTTCCACATGAAACATAAAACAACATGAAACAATAGAGGATATCATACATGCATACATGATTGTAAGACATAGGCTACTCATAGGAAATATGTTCAGATTTGTCATTACTATCTGACTATAAGCTACCAAAACACATTGTATATGAATGATACCCTTAACACATGTTGGCGTTAAATCAAAAACATTTGAACATTAGCTTTAAATTGATAGTTTGGGTTAAATATGACAGACATACAGAACGTGCAGTAGCCAAGGTAGGATTATCCGACATTACCAAACATCACCAATACAACTTGACTGCCCAGACACGTCCTTACCTGCTTGAATAAGTTTCATTGCAGTGCAGTTGCAACATGGCCTTTATCATCATCATCATGACGTGTTCGACTGGCAGTTTCTTAACCTTAGGCATGACTATACTGCTTTAACACATTGTGATACTACTATATAAAGCCTGTGAAAATGTTTGCATTGTTTGTTCTATGGATCCTTTGCATTATGGAAAATGTATACAACCTTTTGGAGCTTGGCTCATAGGGATTTAAAGTTTGAATATCTTGAATATCCTTTATTTTTGTCCTCCAAGTTGATGGAGGTGCAATAATAATGTGCTGGAATACCACCTTACATAACATAACTATAGCTTTATTAGTTGTATTAAATACATAGATAATACATAGAAAAATAAACAAACAAATAGACCAACATTGAATGGTTTGAAACAAGTGATAGTTACTCCACACAGAGTGTTTTGAATGATATAATCCATTACTGGGGGTGTCATGGAAGTTCAGGGGTCCAATCAAACACCTAAGAAATAGCCTTTACATTGTGGTACATCAACAAAACGTTAAATCAGTAAAAGAGTAAGGATTTTATGATTGTAATGTATTCTATTCTAGCTGTGTGAGTGTGGTTTTGTGGGAAATACCCCTTCAACCAAACATGAATGGGGCACAATGGATAACTGAAGAGGGCTCGCTCGCCGCGGTCACGAGAGCACTGGGGGAGTGACGTCACCACCCTAAACCGGGCACCAGCCGTTGAGTTGAGTCCCGAGCGAGAGACAGGCAGGAATCCGGGAACAACTTTTAATGTATGCGGGCCGAGCCGGGCCAGTGTCTCGGGACGCACTGTTTCCTCCTCCTTTATGCATCCTTCTGCTCGACTAAGCTCAACTACGGCTCGTTGTTTTCTCACCGGCTCGGTAGACAATCTGTTTTTGGCACAAAACGCGGTTGTGTGTCAGTTTATTTTTATGTGTCCAGCCCTCCTGCGACTCCAGGACATAACCGGGTAAGTGTGTCCAGTAGTTTCACATCATGTTAGTAGTTGTTGGTCGGAATGATCTCTAGGCATTTTAAACAAAAGCGTCACAACTATCCAAGTGTTTGTAAGTCTCGGTGGTAAGTTAGACGCTGCTGTTACAAAGCGTTCAAACTCATTGTTTGTGTACAATGATGCACGACGCGCGCATTTGATGCTTTTTGTGCTAATTGCTAAACGAGTTGCAGCTTTGCCCGTGTTTGTTTGTGCATGGGTTCATGCATAACTTCCATTGTTTGAGGGCAGTATGCAAATATGCACAGGTAGCTAGCTACTTAATAAACCGTGGTTCGTGCTCCATTAGAGTTTGACAATAGATTCAGTAGTTAAAGTTAAATGTACCGTCCAACATTGACAGAGACAACACAGTTAAATATCTCTGTTTCAGTTTTTTCGATTCGCTTCATAGAGATATTCACATTCCACAATTGCTTTCAATTGTTGTTTTCACACATTTGTCATTGTTGTGCTGCTGGCTTTTTACAGAAAATGAAGATTTGCTTTATGAATGTACCATGCAAATGTATGTTAATATGTGTCTTGAATGCTGCCAGTTATGGCTGTCCTTGAAGCACCCACCTTTCAATTCCTTAAACACATCAGTATCTTCCCACATGAAGAGTCTGTGAAAATGGAACAACTGTTTCTTACTTGCTCTATGTTTCTGCTAAGCCTTTTTAGTTCACACATTTTTTAAATAAAATGTCTTTAGGACTTAACTGCCAGTTATCATGGCAAAGATGTTCAATTTGCTTACATAGTTGAACAAATACAAGCAGACATAATGAAGTAAGTGAGTAGTTTCATTTTGACTGGTATGATCACAATGATATCTTTCGAGTAAAACACTGACAAGGTCATTTTAGGCATGAAAATGTGGAAATTGTTGGAGGCAGTTAACACGCAAACATGTATTTCACCAGACATCCCTAAGGGTTCTGTAGTGATTTAAAACATCCTTATGGGGAAACCAGACAAAGCAGGATACAATTTCCAGCAACAGGTTTGCATTAGAATTGAATGTGCTACACAAATTCCATTCCCAAAACTACTAATTGATTTGGGCGGAAGAAGAGAGAACTGTAAAAGTATACCGAGTATAGAGCAAGACTGTATGGTACAGAATACTGTGATCAAACTTATTAGGAACACTTTGTACACATTTGCTTTTGTCACTACTACAGTACTATAGTAAGTGGTGCTCCTAAAGAGGCTTTAATACACAGCAACATTTTTTATATTTGAGGTAAAAGGTAATTTATCAAGGCTGTAGATTATTGCCACTGTAAATCCCTGCATATTTACACCTCAAATTGACTAACTTGTATGGATATAGTGTCCCACAATACCTGATAAATCAGTTAGTCTAGTCTTTCGGGAACGCTAAATCACATTTGAAATGGAGCTACTCATCACTAATTTCATCATCTGTCTTTTTTCTTCACAGCCTTCCCTGAGTGATTGAGTGAGTGACTGCATGGACCAGACTGAACATGAAGAGCCTTAAAGCAAAGTTTAGAAAAACTGATGTAAGTACTATAACATGTATTCGCGGCTGTGTGAAGTGTGTGCACGCAACAATGTGTGCACATGTGTATGTCTGCATGGCTGAGTCAGTGTCTGTGTATGCATGCCTTGTGCAGTTGTGGATGATTTACTGCAGATTTTCTCAACCTTGGGGTCAGCAGCACCCCATTGCTTTGGGCTATTTAGGAAAAAATAAATAGACTGGAAAAACAAAATAGAGTTCAATCATGTCTGTGTAATACTTATGGAACTTCCTTCTTGCTCTTGTAATCAGAAAGTGTGCCTTGTTCACTTTCCCATGATAACTTGTAAGCTCTAAATGCTGGTGTCATGAGAATTGTAGGTCCTCAAAACAGGATCATGAGTTTGATAAACCCTGATTTATGGTGTTAGCGATATGACATAGACTATTATACAGACATGTTGAGTCACTCTGGAAAGTGGAGGACTCAAGAGGTGATTCAAATATTTTGATTAATCCTACAAAAACCATGAATATCCTAAGATACTGTGACTCCGTGCTGCTCCAGAGGAGGGTTTGACCCTGATGACTATGAATCAGTCTTTTGGGAGGAATATCTCCTTGTTGGTTCAGTCGTTCATTGGGTCACAGTCAAAGATACTCTACACTCACAGGAAGTGAGGCGTCTCCACAGCGTCTGACTCATCTGTTGTCACAGTGACCGTAATGACACAGAGCCAAAACGCAGACAGGAAAAAGCTGGAGGGTTGGTGGATGAATGGGATAAGTTTTAGGGGATGTAGGGAGTGTCAGAAGTTGACAAATGGAGTGAAGAATGTCTACTAAATGAGATACTTGGTTTATTCAGACAGTTTCCATGAGATTAGGAGTGTGTGGCAGGGCAGGATGGGGAGCTCTGGTTAAATTGCGAGAGAGAGAGAGAGAGAGAGAGAGAGAGAGAGAGAGAGAGAGAGAGAGAGAGAGAGAGAGAGAGAGAGAGAGAGAGAGAGAGAGAGAGAGAGATGAGAGAGAGAGAACGCTATATATTCTCTGAGCTCTCTCCTCTACTATATCTCGCTCTCGCCGGATCTCTAGCATCTCTCTCTCTCTTCGTCTGCTCTCTCCTCTCTCTCTCTCTCTCTCTCTCTCGCTCCTCTCTCTC